AGTAAGCATACCAACCCTTTACAGATACTGAAACTGGATTGTCAGAATCGAATTGCAATAGGCGCCGTTGCAGATATAGCTTCAGCCGTACAGATATGAGACCCACCAGGTGAATGGCTTTGCACGAATGTTGCCTTATAAGCACTTGATCCTAACTTGGTTATCTGCCATTGTTATGATTAATATTTTGAAATATTCAGATCGTCACTCGTAGAGATTGTTGGTGCGATGACCAGGAATCTGAGGCGCCTCCGAACCAAGCACTAGTCGTCTTTCCCCTCGCGGTATACAGCTAGACGGTTTCACGAATTGCCTGTACAGTAGGCCATTGTTGATCTCTACTTTTGCCTGCAAGCGCAATTTGATGACTGCATTCGCAGTCGATGAAATACCTCAGCGAAGGCGAAATTTGCTTCGTCAACTGTTGTGCAGTACACAGGTCACGTGAGAATCTTTAGCATTTCCATCTGGTGCTCTTGCAGTATCCCGTTGCTCTATCTTTCTAAGCGAAAGCAACATAGCTTGAAAGAACGTGAAAACAGCAGAGTTGACGATTGCTAATTGGTAAAAGCTGAAATATGAATCCTTATTATTAACAAGCATACTCTATTCAGCAACAATGCCGTTCATGATACATTTCGCAGTGCCTTTGAGTCGTCCGTTAGCAACTCTAAAGGGCCATGACGAAGCGTATCGCCTGAAATCTGACGCAGTGGATCAAACGTCATTTAGTAACCGTTCTTAACTATCTGTTTAGTAAGCACTAGTTGAAGAGGCATGCACCTGCTGGCATCGCAGCCAAGAGGAACGTTTTATAACAACTAGTGACATCCGTGGAAGTCAAGAATCGTCGAAACAACGAATGCCACCCCGTTCATGTACTTTCACTCTTAGATTCGATACACCACTGGGCTGACTATGACTTACGCTTATTGTAACCGCGTCACGACGGGATAAGTGTATTGCAATTATATACCACAACAAACGGGATTTTGTTAAGCAGTAGTCCGTAGCCTCTATTGATAAGTCGTATCTCCTCCTGGTGCAGAACCTTAAGGCATCAATCATACGGTGAAGTATAGAGTAATTTCACTCTCATCTCCAGCATACTCTTTCCTGATCGTTCATCCAGCTTTCCGCTACTTCAGTACGGATACAGGCTAAAAACTCTCATGAAGCTCGGATACATAGACAGGCTAGACAGCACTTTTGGTTGTTCGCCTTCATTCAAAGACTGAAAATATTATTCACAATCGGTAACCGGCGTCATCCTCGTTTTGAAGCATTTCGCAAAAATCTCCCTTACCTATATTAAATAGTACAATTGCATTAATTTGTGGCAAAACTTGTGATATATACGTCACGCATAGCAGATAACCATCGTACAGCTTCTGCCGTACCAACTGGATGGTTATGGAAAAACAATGGCTTAACGATGCCTGAAGTAATCAGTAGCACGCAAGTGCGTTCTGGATGACCTACGAAGCCCTGAGTATGGATCATGCTATCGGACATTTTGTCTGTTATGATTACTCCAGGTATTTAGTGTGGCCCCGCAATTGGTCCATATATCGCATGTAATCCTTGGCAGCCGTCATCATCTACACAATTCTCAATGCACAAAATTTCATGCACAAAACTGGTCAGCAGCTTGCTGAACAGTCGGACGCTGACGCTGCATTCATTACTAGAAACCTAAAACTCTCAAGACAGTTTGTGACGAGTGAATCACTTACCTCATTGGTTTTTTGTTACTAACGCGACTTCTGGACACGTCTTCGAAACCTTCCACCTCTTCGTGGTGTATAGACTCCCTAGACCCAAAATAATTATTTGTACCATATATCTGTCGCATAATCCCGTCTTGTTAGCACTATCACGAGTTTCCAAATGGCTTGACAGTTAGTTGATCCGTTCAAAATTTCCACTGATTGTACACACTGATTACATCGAAGGCTTACAGTTCTCTAAATTTACTCTGTTAATTTCTGAGAGGCGATGAGACTGATGGTATCAGCGGCATAATGCGTTGTTCATTTTCTACTCCGATACTAAATTAAGGCTGAATGAAAGCGCAAACACCAAATTCTTATGCAAAATTTGTCATAAACTAATATATAGGTACACAATCTTCCGCAGTCATGCCATCGCTGTGTTCTGTGCTGTCGACGAGAGCTGAATCGTGATGGTACCTCAAACATGAACTCTTGCACAAACTTTCAAAAGTTTGCCGACCACCTAGCGCTACTAAGCTTTTCAGTATACTTTGCTACCACACATCATTGCTCTTTAACCATGGAGCTCCCTCGATTTAATTGCAGTATCAGGTCATAAATCAGTCATCACCGTGACATTAATCGCGCGCGCTATGTGACTTTGCGTTCTCGAATTAAACTCGCCGACGCATTTGATCAGCGCTCTTCTGCCGACATTCTAACATAAATTAAGCAGGGTTTGACTGAAGCAAACAAAGTCTTTAGTACCCGTCGACAACGCGCAACGACACAACATGCTTTTAGAAGTCTATGCATAAAAATTAAATACATGTGCAAAACTAAATGCGCATGCAAGCTAAAGGAGTCTTCAGAAATTTGGCTCCGCCAGTTGTAGGCCAACATTAGTTAATCGAAATATTAGCAGTTGTTATTAAAATCACAAATGTGAGCGACTAAAGAAGCTTGAAGCTTACACTTTTAAAAAATTCGCAGCTTAAGTAAATTAAATCACTTGTTTCTGAATTATTCACTTTTTGAAGTGAGTGCATGCATTTAACAAATTCAGTCTGTTCAGATGGATCGCGAAAGAAATTTATGACAGCCGTGTAATCACTATCAGTCATCCGCCGTACGAACTTCCTCGTCGTAGCTGTAGTGTGTAGAAATCACAACGCCAATAATGATAAATGAACTGAATGGTGGTGATAATGATAAATTTGCGCGTTGAGTGACGTTTCGGCCATGAAGTGATCTTGCCGACAGTGTTACCAAAACGTTACACGTCGTGAGCTATAATTCAGCAAAGTTTAACTTAAAGGTCAAAGGGTTTAGCGCTACGTCAAACTGAACACATAACAGGCCCACACATGAGAGCAAGGATTTTTATATGACCATTACTTTGAGCAGGATTGGAATTAAGTATTATTAAATTATGATGTAACAAATTTTATTGAACGGATTTTTTCAAGCTATTTTACCAGAAAAATTGAAACAAAGAATAATTATACCGTGAATGTAATCACAACAAACGCAAGAACAACAACCGCTCACAGGTTGAATTTAAAGAACATCAGCATATCTCGATTTAAACTTTCCAAAGTTATGGTGATCAACTCCATCCTGCGAAAGGATCACAGTCCATTCACTCCATTTGCTTTGCCCACTCTACGCCATCGACGACGCGTTTTTGAAGGCCACTGGCGTGCAGCAGCGCCGTCACTTTGTAGGAAAGTGAGTACCTGGAGATCGTTTCATATAATAATGATAACACGAGAAAACTACGTTGGCCAGCCAACTGAATGAATTTTTAACATGTACATATTAGAAAGCTGCAACAAGAAACTTAATAACTCGTTAAAATATCTAGGGTTATTCATTCCATTGTGCGAAGCGCCTGCTTCCATCCACTTCTTCTAAGTCGACTTCACGCCAACAAGCGCATTTCAACGACGGCCGTTGCCGCACAACCTGTTGATGGCCACCGACGAGCAGTAGCGCCGCTAATTTGTTAGAGAGTGGGAAGTCACACCATGTAGGTGGAGTTTCTTTATTATTGATTGGTTGTAAGTTTAATACATGAGACATATCGAAAATAACTGGGTTTGACGATTCTAGAAAATGCTTTCGGCCCTCACGTAGCGGGAGCGTGGTGTTACAGATCTTGCAAATCATTACTTGCTTACAGTAGCAACCGTGAATTTAATGCAGGTTAACGTTCCATGGGAAGTTGTTCGATGTAGGTGCGTGGATCTGTTGACTTGTCATGTGTGCTGACGTAGAATTTCTTGTAATTTGTTTTCTTTTCGTTGATATGTATCAATTATTTTTGCTGAAATACTTAGGAAATATGTTACTCGCTGTATAAATATAAGAAACGCGGCGTTAACGAAGTTCTGCGTTGCCAAGTTTGCCGCCGAGCTTATGTGATGTTCGTGCTTGCTACTGTTTTTGAGTCTTCATAAACATGGAAAGCAGTTCAGCGAGTTATAATTAAAAACGTATTTTGTGCTGTAAAAAGTATGCTATAGATGTAAAGGGTGTTTTTGTCCGTAGCTTACGTTGGTCGTCCATGAATTTCAAGAATATGTCAGTATGGTGTATCGTGGAACGTGCTACGTCTGCCTGTAGGGGATTTTGTCCGCCGTGTTGTTTCGGCGGATGAGACAACCAGTAGCTTTTCAACGATACAACAACTGCCGCCGGGTACTACCGTTATGCCTCTGTCAGCGTCTCGCTCTACAGAAGACCATGACCGTCGTCACAGGGATGAAGCTCCTCGCCGCCTTCGGTGCGAGCGGAGTCTGTCCCTGCCTATTGTCGGGGTCAGTGCTAATTTCGAGGCGGACGGCGACGCCGACCAACCGAAACAGCTACGACTTACTGTGTTTCTGGAGGATGAGGACAGGTTGCAACTCTCTTCTTGCGGCATCGGCTGTTACAGGCCGAAGTGGCTGAGCAGGTTCAACACTCGCAGATGGATGCTGTTCTGGCTATGCTGGTACTGCACAATTCAGGTATATGTGCCGTGGGTGCGAAC